GAGTTGTTGTTGTGGTATTGTGGGTTTAGTTGTGTGTTGTTGTTGTGGTATTGTGGGTTAGTTGTGATTGTTGTTGTTGTGGTATTGTGGGTTAGTTGTGGTTGTTGTTGTTGTGGTATTGTGGGTTAGTTGTGTGTTGTTGTTGGTATTGTGGGTTAGTTGTGATTGTTGTTGTTGTGGTATTGTGGGTTAGTTTGTGAGTTGTTGTTGTGGTATTGTGGGTTGTTGTGTGTTGTTGTTGTTTGGTATTGTGGGTTAGTTGTGAGTTGTTGTTGTTGGGTATTGTGGGTTAGTTGTGGTTGTTGTTGTTGTGGTATTGTGGGTTAGTTGTGTGTTGTTGTTGTGGTATTGTGGGTTAGTTGTGTGTTGTTGTTGTTGTGGTATTGTGGGTTAGTGTGTGTTGTTGTTGTGGTATTGTGGGTTAGTTGTGAGTTGTTGTTGTGGTATTGTGGGTTGTTGTGTGTTTTATGTTGTGGTATTGTGGGTTAGTTGTGTGTTGTTGTTGTGGTATTGTGGGTTAGTTGTGTTGTTGTTTTGTGGTATTGTGGGTTAGTTGTGTGTGTGTTGTTGTGGTATTGTGGGTTAGTTGTGTGTTGTTGTTGTTGGTATTGTGGGTTAGTTGTGAGTTGTTGTTGTGGTATTGTGAGTTAGTTGTTGAGTTGTAGTTGTTTGGTATTTGTGGGTTAGTTGTGTAGTTGTTGTTGTGGTATTGTGGGTTAGTGTGAGTTGTTGTTGTGGTATTGTGGGTTAGTTGTGTGAGTTGTTTAGTTTTGTGGTATTGTGTGTTAGTTGTGTTAGTTGTTATTGTTGTGGTATTGTGGTTAGTTGTGGTTTGTTATTTGTTGTTGGGTATTGTGGGTTAGTTTGTGAGTTGTTGTTGTTGTGGTATTGTGGGTTAGTTGTGTGTTGTTATTGTTGTGGTATTGTGGGTTAGTTGTGTGTTGTTGTTGTTGGTATTGTGGGTTAGTTGTGTGTTGTTGTGTTGTGGTATTGTGGGTTAGTTTGTGTGTTGTTGTTGTTGGTATTGTGGGTTAGTTGTGAGTTGTTGTTGTTGTGGTATTGTGGGTTAGTTGTGTGTTGTTGTTGTTGTGGTATTGTGGGTTGAGGTTGTGTGTTTGTGTTGTTGTTGTGGTATTGTGGTTAGTTGTGTGTGTTGTGTGTTGTTGTTGTTGTGGTATTGTGGGTTTAGTTGTGTGTGTTGTTGTTGTGGTATTGTGGGTTAGTTGGTGTGTTGTTGTGGTATTGTTGTTGTTGTTGGTGTGGTATTGTGAGTGTGTTGTTGTTGTGGTATTGTGGGTTAGTTGTGAGTTGTTGTTTTGTGGTATTGTGGGTTAGTTGTGTGTTGTTGTTGTTGTGGTATTGTGGGTTAGTTGTGTGTTGTTGGTTGGTGTTTGTGGTATTGTGGGTTAGTTGTGTGTTGGTTGTTGTGGTATTGTGGGTTAGTTGTGAGTTGTTGTTGTGGTATTGTGGGTAGTTGTGGTTGTTGTTGTTGTGGTATTGTGGGTTAGTTGTGTGTGTTGTTGTGGTATTGTGGGTTAGTTGTTGGTTGTTGTTTGTGGTTAGTTGTGTTGTTGTTGTTGTGGTATTGTGGGTTAGTTGTGAATTGTTGTTGTTGTGTATTGTGGGTTAGTTGTGATTGTTGTTGTTGTGGTATTGTGGGTTAGTTGTGTTGTTGTTGTGTGGTATTGTGGGTAGTTGTGAATTGTTGTTGTTGTGGTATTGTGGGTTAGTTGTGAATTGTTTGTGAGGTATTGTGGGTTAGTTGTGAAGTTGTTGTTGTTGTGGTATGTGGGTTAGTTGTGAATTGTTGTTGTGGTATATGTGGGTAGTGTGAATTGTTGTTGTCTAGGTATTGTGGGTTGTGGAATTGTTGTGTTGTGGTATTGTGGGTTAGTTGTGAATTGTTGTAGTCAGGTATTGTGGGTTAGTTGTGAATGTTGTGTTGCATGGTATTGTGGGTTAGTTGTGAATTGTTGTTGTTGGTATTGTGGGTTAGTTGTGAATTGTTGTTGTCATGATATTGTGGGTTAGTTGTGAATGTTGTGTATGGTATTGTGGGTTAGTTGTGAATTGTTGTAGTCATGTATTGTGGGTTAGTTGTGAATTGTTGTAGTCATGTATTGTGGGTTAGTTGAATTGTTGTAGCATGGTATTGTGGGTTAGTTGTGAATTGTTGTAGTCATGGTATTGTGGTTAGTTGTGAATTGTTGTAGTCATGGTATTGTGGGTTAGTTTGAATTGTTGTAGTCATGTATTGTGGGTTAGTTGTGGAATTGTTGTAGTCATGGTATTGTGGGTTAGTTGGAAGTTGTTGCAGTCATGGTATTGTGGGTTAGTTGTGAATTGTTGTAGTAGGTATGTGGGTTAGTGAATTGTTGTAGTTCATGGTATTGTAGGTGTTGTGAAATTGTTGTATCACGGTATTGTGGGTAGTGAATTGTTGTAGTCATGGTATTGTGGGTTAGTTGACATTTCAATCACTGGATATGTGGGTAGTTGTTGAATTATTTACAGAATGCGTAATGCTTGTAATGTTGCCCCAGCCATAGTAACTTTTGGGGTTTAGACAATCTTAACCACAACTACACCTGACTAGGGACACAGTCAAGTTACACACCCTCACAATACACTGACTGAGGACACATCAATTACATCCCCCACATACCTGACTAAGAACATCAATCTTGACACACCCACACGAGTACACCTGACTAGTGACACATCAATTACATCCCACACAACTCTCTGTAATGGACACTCACTTTACATCCCCCATCAACTACACCTGACTGGACATCATCAATTCACACCCACAATATACACCTGTAGACATTCATTACACCCACAAATAAACTGCTGAGGACACATCACTTTCATCTCCACACAACTACACTGACTGAGGACACATAACTTTACATCCCCAGCACAATACACTGACTGAGGACACATCAACTGACACACCCCAAAACTACACTGTAAGACACATTCACTTACACCACAAACTACCTGACTGAGACAATCTAATTACATCCCCACAAATACACCTGACTGAGACACATCAACTTACACTCCCCACACAACTACACCTGACTGAGACACAGCAACTTACACACCCCACACAACTACACCTGACTAAGACACATCAACTTACACACCCCACACAACTACACCTGACTGAGACACATCAACTTACACACCCCACACAACTACACCTGACTAAGACACATCAACTTACACACCTCTTACACTACCACAACACTGTCCACTACTCACTAAGGTTACACTTCTGGATTACAAAAATAATATATCTTTCCAATCTTGTTAGTTACAGTGAATCGTGGTCTCTCTACACGACCATTACTAACCTATCAGTGTATATTACAGTGTGGACACTGCTGGGGACAGGAGCTAGACTGGACATTACTAGCTTAGTATGAATACAAGGGATATGTATTAAGAGGTTCCATACAAAGTGTATGAATGTGTACGTGTATATATATATATATATATATATATATATATATATATATATATATAATATATATATATATATATTATATATATATATATATATATATATATATAATTTATATATATATATATATATTGTAAACATGGGCGAAACATCGTCTCCTTTCATTTCATTTTCCTTGTGTTCATTTCTCATTTTTTTCCTAGTCATTTCTTTCCAATCCAAGATAAAAAAAAAACATATAAGGGTTCTTTATATATTCTAACCTTTATTTGAGGCCGTCTTCAGTAGACAGTAGTTGTGGAATTACCATACATTCCTCTATCTATGTTTGGTATTTATTAAGTAATTTAAAATCTATAGATTTCTCAGTCACTAACAAATTACTGCAGATGTGTCCCATATATACCAAAATATATCTTAGATATCTTATGGGTATACTCTCCACTGAAGGTACCCAGGTGTTGTACGTGTGTCTTATTCATCAATAAAGACACCCAGGTGTTGTACATGTGTCTTATTCATCAATAAAGACACCCAGGTGTTGTACATGTGTATTATTCATCAATAAAGACACCCAGTTTGTACATTGTCATTATTCATCAATAAAGACACCAGGTGTGTACATGTTTTTTCATCAATAAAGACACCCAGTGTGTACGTGTGTCTTATTTTCATAAGACACCCAGTTGTCATTTATTTCATCCAATAAAGACACCCAGGTGTGAATGGTGTCTTATTCATCATAAAGACACCCAGGTGGTTGTCAGTGCATTATTTCAATTAAAACACCCGGTGTTTGTAATGTTCTTATTAAGTAATAAGACATCCGTATTGACATTTCTATTCATCAATAAAGACACCCAGTGTTGTAATGTGTCTTATTCATCATAAAGCACCAGTGTGTACATGTTATTCTCAATAAGACACCAGTGTTGTACATGTGTCTTATTCATCATAAAGGACCCAGGTGTTGTACATGTGTCTTATTCATCAATAAAGACACCCAGGTGTTGTACATGTGTCTTATTCATCAATAAAGACACCCAGGTGTTGTACATGTGTCTTATTCATCAATAAAGACACCCAGGTGTTGTACATGTGCCTTATTCATCAATAAAGACACCCAGGTGTTGTACATGTGTCTTATTCATCAATAAAGACACCCAGGTGTTGTACATGTGTCTTATTCATCAATAAAGACACCCAGGTGTTGTACATGTGTCATATTCATCAATAAAGACACCCAGGTGTTGTACATGTGTCTTATTCATCAATAAAGACACCCAGGTGTTGTACATGTGTCTTATTCATCAATAAGAGAACATTGTTGTACATGTTCTTATTCATCATAATAGACACACCAGGTGTTGTACATGTGCGTTATTCATCAGTAAAGTACCCAGGGTTGACATGTTGTATTATCAACGAGTAATGGTTACAATGTTCAGTAATCGCCTTAAAATGACCGTGATAGTCTGTTGATTGGTTGATTCCTTAGTAATTAGTAACAGGCTCGACTTGTTGGGATGTAGTTAACACGGGTTCGAATCCTGCTTTCAGTAAGGGAATAGAACTTAAATATCGACTGATATGTACTTTGTGGTTGTTTCGATGTGTATATATACTTTGAGAAATGTATATACACTGAGAGGTGTATATCTCAGTGCATATACACTGAGAGGTTTATATCTCAATGTATATACATTGGGAGGTGTACATCGCAGTGTATATACACTGAGAGGTGTATATCTCAGTGTATATACACTGAGAGGTGTATATCTCAGTGTATATACACTGAGAGGTGTATATCTCAGTGTATATACACTGGTAGTTTACGTTAATCACTATTTTAGGTATTAAAATATTCATGATTGGTGGTGTACAGGTGACATGCAGCCTTAATGACCTAATTATGGTGGTAATTAGCACATAGGCCTTAAAAACATGAAATACCCTTATGACACGTATTTACCTATAGATCAAAACATATTAAAACCCTTTACCAGGCCTGGGAAAGGGTAATTACCCCTTTACCAGGAGTGGAGAAGGCCTGGTAAAGGGTTTAATTAAGCGACAGTTTTCGCCATGAACGGCTTATTTAGGCCTAGTGATGCTAGTCGTGACGATAGGTCTCATTCACAGTCATGAACTGTCAATAACAAGGCTCATTTATAGGTTGATGTAAAGGAGATTTACAGCACTCAAGAGTTGACGAAAACAATGACTTGCAGGTGTGAGGATATTTATGCTAGTTTTAGCAGTCTCTGAGGTGAAAGTAGCGCTTTTGCTAGCTGTTGATGGGGGAATACTAGCTGTCTAGGACTTCTGCTAGTTGTACATGTGAGAATACTAGCTGTCCAGTACTTCTGTTAGCCGTAGATGAAAGAATGCTAGCTGTCTAGTGCTCCTGCTAGGTGTAGATAACAGAAGTAATGTAGCGCCTTTTCTAGCTGTCTAGTCCGATTACTAGCCACAGTTTGGGTAAAATTAGGGGGCCTGTATCAGCTCTAAGCGAGACGATACTAGCGCTGCTTCTAGCTGTCGGTGTGAGTTAGGCCTTGTGCTAGCTAGCTAGCTGGCTAACCTCGTAATCTTGCTCGTAGTTCATAAAATGTAGAGCAGTTTCCGACCCCCCTCTCTCCTCCTCTGGCGTGTTGTATCCTATATCAATAACCTTGACCGGATATGTCAGCTGATTTCCACTGTCCCAAGAGTAGATTTCCTGGAAAAATGGAGTAACAGTTAAGGTGATAAACATAATCGTGAATTTTAAAGGGGTAAGCCAGTGGAAGGCCTCGGTCAGATGACTAAAAGCTCCAGCTGTGGGTTATTGTACTGCCTCAGAATGGCCCCGATCTCAAAGCATGTTGCTTTGAAATAGTCAGGAGTCTCTAGTCCTGTTTCCTGACAAACCTTACCTAAAAGACCCGACAAACTGATAACACAGCGGCTTCATCAGTCCAATACGGAGAAGTCGATGTAATCAGTCCCTGGACTGACTATTTTGACTCCAGATTGAGGGACTGATTATCTTAATCTCCTTCTGATTTTCATTATTCTTCGAATTAGACTGATGAAGCCACTATAGGGCGAAACGCTTTCACATTAAAGGTACCCAGGTATGACACATGTATATAATTTATCAGAATAAATTACACAGTAACAGGATGTACTGTAATGGTAGTGGATCTACTGGAAGGGAATGAGGAGGGCATGATGTACTAGCTAGGAGCTGTTAAGTAGGTAATTAGGTAGGTAGGTAAGTAGGTAGGTAAGAAAGTAGGTAGGTAAGTACATTCAGATACAGGTACACAAATTGTCTTATATAGTAATGTGTGTAAATTACCCAGCAGACTTGAGTTCTTTATATGATCATGCCACTGCCTGCGTGTCCTTCCCCAGCTCATTCCACTAATTCCATCAGCTCATTCCACTCATTCCAAAACTCATTCCACATCTCACCCAGTAAGCTCATTCCACTCATTCCATTCATTCCCCAGCTCATTCCACAAATTCCACAGCTCATTCCACAGCTCATTTCACTCATTCCATTCATTCCCCGGCTCATTCCACTCATTCCACAGCTCATTCCAGTCATTCTACAGCTCATCCCACAGCTCATTCCACTCATTTCACAGCTCATTCCAGTCATTCTACAGCTCATCCCACAGCTCATTCCACTCATTCCACAGCTCATTCCGCTCATTCCACAGCTCATTCCACTCATTCCACAGCTCATTCCACTCATTCCATTCATTCCCCAGCTCATTCCACTCATTCCACAGCTCATTCCACTCATTCCACAGCTCATTCCACTTATTCCACAGCTCATTCCACTCATTCCACAGCTCATTCCACTCATTCCACAGCTCATTCCACTCATTTCATTCATTCCCCAGCTCATTCCACTCATTCCACAGCTCATTCCACTCATTCCACAGATCATTCCACTCATTCCACAGCTCATTCCACAGCTCATTCCACTCATTCCACAGCTCATTCCTCAGGTCATTCCACCTGCGGGTAAGTCTTACCTTAGTGTCATAGTTGTAACCCAGCATGGTGGTCATTCTAAAAGGATTGTTAAAGGGCGGGTCAACATCCAGGAACCTCTTGCGGTACAGGTCCAGCGCGAACCTGTCAGGGGGACCAAACCAACCTTCAGACATTGAAGACCCAAAAACTCGACAGAAGGACCACTCACGTGAGACCAGGAACCCGTTGGACCCCTCTCCCAAACCCAAAAACCTGTGGGACCATTTTTCAAAAACCCAAATCCCCCAGGTCCTTTCCTGGGGGACATGATCCCTTCTACCCCGGACTTCAGGACACACTACCTTACTTCAAAAACTCCACCTGGTTTAAGACACACTACCTTACCAGGACACCCTACCCCTTTTCCCTTTAGGACTCATTAAACCCGACTTCAGGCCCACTTTCCTGGGGCTTCAGGACACACACCTGTTTTGTAAAGGGCCCCCCTACCCGTACTTCAGGACTCATTACCGTACTTCAGGACAATAAATTTCTTTGGACACCCCACCTGTACTTTAGGGCTATTTTCCTGTACTTTTAGGGAAAACTACTGTACGTCAGGACACCCTAACCCGTACTTCGGATCATTACCTGTCCTTTAGGGCACACTTTCCCCGTAGTCAGGCCCCCCTAAACCCGTACTTTAGGACTCATTTAACCCACTTCAAGACACACTCCTGGGGTTCAGGGCACACTACCCGTAAAGTAGGACTCACTACCTGGGGCTTCAGGGCACACTACCTGGGTTTCCGGGAAAACACTACCTGTACGTCAGGAAAACCCTACCGGGACTTTAAAGGGCACCACCTGGCCTTTAGGACCATACCCGTAATTTAGGGCACACTACCCCGTCCCTTTAAACAAAAACTACCTGGACTTCGGACACACTCCCCGGGACGTCAGGACACACTACCTGTACTTTTTTGGGCACACTACCTGTATTTTAAGACACACAAACCCGGGTTCAGGATTCCCCCTTTTTCCCCTTTATTCGGGCACACTACCTGGGGAATCAGGACACCCCACCTGTACTTTAGGGCACATTACCCGACTTCAAGACACACTACCTGGACTTCAGGGTTCACTACCTTCAAATTCAGACACACAAACCTCGAAATTCAGGGGACACACTACCTGTCTTTAGGACACATACCTCTAGTTTAGGACACACTACCCCCTAGTCAGGGCACATACCTTAGTTCAGGACACCTACCCTCAGTTCAGGGCACACTACCTCTATTCAGGAACCCTACCCCTAGTTTTTAGGAAAACACTACCCCCACTTCAGAAAACATTTCATTCCCCTTCGGAAAACACAACCCGGGGCTTCAGGGCACACCCAAACCCCGAATTCAGGGGCACACAAACCCGTACTTCAAAGGGCACCACCTTTCTTTAGGACACACTACCTCTAGTTTAGGACAAATTTCCGGAATTTGGACACATACCTGTACCCTTTAGAAAAAACACTACATTCACTTCAGGAAAACACTACCTGTACTTCAAGAAAACATCCTGGGGCTTTAGGGGCACACTATTTTACTTCCGGACACACTACCTGGAATTCGGACAAAAACTACCTGACTTCAGGACACACTATCTGTACTTTAAGGGGCACACTTTCCTGGGAAATTAGGGGCACATACCTGGATTTTACGCACATACCTACTCCAGGACACACACCTGTACTTCAGGACACACTACCTGGACTTCAGGACACACATACTTTTTAAATTTTTTGGGTAACTTAAACCCCAAATTTTTGGGGTTAAAATTTTCCTAATTTTAAGGGGAACTTACCAAATTTTTTGGAGTAACCCTTTCCTTTAAATTTTTTTAGGGAACAACCTAATTTTAAAAAGGGGTTTAAATTTCCTAATTTTAAGGGGAACAAACCTAATTTTAAAGGGGAACCCTTTCCCAAATTTTTGGGGAACTTTCCCCAATTTTAAGGGTACCTTACCTAATTTTTTGGGGGAACTTAAACCCAATTTTTTGGGGAAATTACCCAAAATTTTTAAAGGGTACCTTTTCCTAATTTTTTGGGTAACTTACCTAATTTTAAAAACTTCCCCTAATTTTTTGGGAAACTTAACTAATTTCGTGTCTCCTCCGTGGCAAATTTTCAAAAGCGTACAGAACACCACAAGTGATAAAAAAGCCCCGAATTGGGGTGGCTAGAGGGGAATTTTTCCCGCTGTACTTTTCCCCCTGCAAGATGTACACTGTGTACACAGGAAAACCCCCCCCCCGGGGGGGGTGTACAAATTGACAACCCTGTCATGTGTTTTGTAGTGTTGTAAAATACTGGGGGTTGTACAGGGGGTTACTGGGGGTTTTACTTTGGGGGTTTTCAAGGGGGTGGGAATGGGGTGTTTCAGGGGGGGTACTGGTTTGGGGGCTGTTGGGAAAGGTGGGGTTAAATGGTGGTGTACAGGTGGTTACTGGTGGTTTTACTGGTGGGGTACAGGGGGGGGTAAATGGTGGTGTACCCGGGGTTTTTACGGTGGTGTACAGGTGGTGTACAGGTGGGGAAATGGTGTTGTACTTTTGGGGGTTTAACAGGGGGTGTACTGGTGGTGTACAGGTGGGGTACTGGTGGTGTAAAGGTGGTGGGAATGGGGGTGTACGGGGGTGTACTGGTTGGGGTACAGGTGGGGTACTGGGGTGTCAGGTGGTGTACTGGGGGGGTGTACAGGGGGGGTGTACTGGTTGGGGTTTCAGGGGGTGTAGAGGTGGTGTATGGTGGTGTACAGGGGTTTACTGGGGGGGTACAGGGGGAGTACAAAGGGGGTGTACTGGGGTGTCCCCGGTTTTGTACTGGGGGTGAAAAGGGGCTGTACTGGGTAAAAGGTGGTGTAAAAAGGGGGGGTACAGGTTTGGGGACAAAGGTGTTTCTGGAAAATGTAAATTTGGTGGGACTGGTGGTGTACTGGTGGTTTTACAGGGGGGGTACTGGTGGGTTTCAGGTGGTGTACTGGGGGTGTACCCGGTGGTTTTACTGGGGGGTGTACTGGGGGGTGTAAGGGGGGTTTCGGTGGTGTCAGGTGGTGTACTGGGGAAATACAATGGGTAAGGTGGTGTATTGGGGGTGTAAAAGGGGGTTACTGGGGGTGTAAAAGGTGGGGTACTGGGGGTCTGGGGTAAAGGGGGTACTGGTGTTTTTTTTTTTTATTTTTTTTACAGGTGGGGTCTGGTGGTGAATAGTGGTGTACTGGTGGGGTAATGGTGGTGGACTGGTGGAGTAAAAAAAAAAGGGGGTTTTACAGGTGGTGTCCTGGTGGTGTACAGGTGGTGTACAGGTGGGGGTAAATTTCTGGGAAAAAAAAGGGTTTTTTTGGGGGGGGGTAAAAGGTGGTGTACAGGTGGTGTACAGGTGGTTACAGGGGGTTACTTTGGGGGTGTACAAGGGGGGGTACTGGTGTTGTACCGGGGGTACAGGGGGTTTTACCTGCGGTGTAAAGGTGGTGAAATGGTTTGGGGTACAGGGGGGTGTGGAAAGGGGGTGTACAGGGGGTGTAAAAGGGTTGAACTGGGGGTGTAAGGGGGGTGTACAGGGGGGTACTGGTGTTTTTACTGGTGTACAGGTGGGTTTTACATGGTGTACAGGTGGGGGTAATGGTGGTGTACAAAGGGGGTGTAAAGGTTTTGGGACAGGTGGTGTAAAAGGGGGGTACATGTGGTTTTACAGGTGGGTACAGGTTTGGGGTACAGGTGGTGTTTCTGGTGGTGTACTGGTGGTGTCCCGGGGTTTTACGGTGTAAACAGGTAGTGTACAGGTTTGGGGAAATGGGGTGTCCCTGTGTACAGGGGGTTTTATGGTGGTGAAAAGGTGGGGTATTGGGGTGTACTTGGTGTACTGGTTGGGGGTAAATGCTGGTGTAAAGGTGGTGTACGGTTGTATGGTGGTGTACCGGTTTGGTTTTATAGGTGGGTATGGTGGTGTAACAGGGGGTGTACAGGGGGGTTTTAAAATTGGTGAAAATGGTGGTGTACTGGTTTGTACAGGTGGTGTAAATGGTGGGGGGGTCTGGGGGGCGTACAGGGGGTGTACAGGTTTTTTGTACTGGTGGGGTATTGGTGGTGTTTCAGGGGTTTACGGTGGTGTAAGGGGGGTGAAAAGGTGGGGTACAGGGGGTGTATGGTGGTGTCCCGGTGGTGTACGGGGGGTGGGATGGTAGTTTTACAGGTGGTTTTACTGGGTGGGTTGTACAGGGCCCCTAGGGGCCAAAATGACTTTTAAATGATTGAAAAAAACTCACCCCCCCCAGTCATCAAAAACCCCACACAGTACAATCCCCTTTAAAACCACCCAGTACAATCATCAAAAATCAACCATTTCAGTCATCCCCCAAAACTCACACAGTACAATCATCAAAGCTTTACCCAGTACAATCATCAAAACTCACCCAGTACAATCATCAAGGTTCACACAGTCAAAACCTCAAGGTCACCAGTACAAACATCAAAGCTCACTTTTGTTTCGTCATCAAAGCCCCACCCAGTGGGAATCATCAAAGGTAACCCCCCACAATTTAACAAAGGGCCCCCCAGTACAATCATCAAAGGGTCAAAACAGTACAAAACCCTCAAAAACCACAGAGTACAAAACATCAAAGCTCACCCCGTACAATCATCAAAACTCACCCAGGACAATTTTCAAAGCTCACACAGTTTCAAAAACATAAAGCTCACCCAGTCCCAAACTTCCCAAAACTCACCCCCACGATCATCAAACTCCCCAGTACAACCATCAAAGGGTAACCCCGTAAAAATCATCAAAGCTCACCCATACAATCATCAAAACTCACCCCGTAAAAATCATCAAAGGGTCACCCAGTAAAAATCAAACAAAAACTTTACCCCTACAATTATTTTTTGCTCACACAGTACAAATCACAAAACTCACCCAGTACAAAATTTTCAAAGTCACCCAGTACCAAAACAAGAAATCACCCAGTAAAAATCATCAAAGGTCACCCGTACAAACATCCCAAAACTCACCCAAATACAAAACCCCCCAAACCAACCCCCGTACAATCATCCCAAAACTCAAAACAGAACAATCAAACAAAGCTCACCCAGTACATATCAAAGCTACA